CCCCCCCCCCCCGCCGCCGCCACAACTGCGATGCCTCGGTTCTAAACCTATCCCCTACAACTGGCTGTCGACCCCACGGTCCGTGTCGCCACAACAACACGCAGAACAGGCGGTCGATCAGTCCAGAACGAACCAGCAAGCAGCAGCCGGAGAGACGACCAGCTTGGCCCAGACAAGACAGGACAAGACAAGAGAGAGAGAGAGACACAGCAGTTTTCAGAGACAACAGGAAGGCCAGCCACCACCACAAGAATGTCGGCCTTCAACGCGTTCTTTGCGCAGCTCACGGGAGGCGGCGCGGCCGCGGGCGACGCCCCACCAAGCGCCACCACCGCCTCCGCTGCTGCCGCCTCTGGTGGCTCTGCAGATCACCGTGGCAACGGTGCCACAGACGGAGGAGGCGGTGGCGGGGGGCGTGCCGATGGTGCGTTCGGCGTTCCTCTGACGGGGGCGGCGGTGACGTACGATCCGGAGAACGACAGGAGTCGCTTTGGAAACCCACAGGTGCGTTTTTTTTTTCTTCGACGGAGAAGGATGCGGGAGGTACTGTGTACAGGCTGCCGTGAGAGGGCGGCGTCGGGTTTAGGGATTTTAAATGGCAGGGTTTGGGAGAGGCTGACGAAGAAGAACGGCGGTGTGTTGTATATCCTTGAGGGCCAGGCAAGGGCCAAGTCGGGTGTGGGTGGTGGCAAGCGTTTCGCGACCATTGTATTGTCTTGTGTTGGGGATTGACTCTCCTGTTGAGGCACGCAGGCAAGAACCAATGGTGCAATAGTAAGATAGTTGCGAAAACTCTTGACGGTCGCCAAAATGGCAGGCCTCGCCCTGGGGTGATGTTGGTTTGCGATACCTTCCACACTAACAACACGACCCTTCCTTGCAAGCCCCGTGGTTCCCGTCACCAACCGAACAAGGTACAAAGTCAACGACCCGCGCGGTGATTTATTGTCGTGTGCTCGTGTGCGTTATCGAGTCATTGACCGGCCTTGACATCACCGTATCACGGGCCGGTGGTAACAATCTCATCACCCAGCAGGAGATGTGTCCTGCTGCCAGCGAGAGGATGCCGCTCGATTTTCCCTTGAATCGACCGAGTCGGGTGAAAGTCACAGTCAGAATCTCTTGTTCTTGTGACACTTTGTGATTGGCTTCAGTGCACGACAGTGACGACGCTGCCCGAGGTCAGCCGTCGGAGAGGGCTGTGCAAGCAGGGCGCTCTCGTCGTCGCGAACGCCGACTTCACGTGCTACGGCATCTCGAGCAACATCCGAGTGATCCACAGGCCTACCGGAGCGAGAGCCCTCATCAAGCCGCCGCCGCACTTGGGAAATGCCATTCCTCAGGTGTGAGGGTCTTATCAAGGCGTGGTTTATGCTTTTTTAAGAAACACACACACGCGCGCACTTGACCCTGACGTTCGTTAACCGATTGTTGCGCGGCCGATGCTATCCACGAAGACGCACACACAGGACGCACATACAGGACGCCCCCTCACGGGGTCCCAGATCATGGCCTTTGGAAGCATTTAACGTTGTCTATTCAATGTGAAGACAAAAACAATTCAACCGCACTGAGACTGACGTCTTCATTGGTCAGCCGGTTAGCGCTGTCGATGCTAATATTCGAATATTCTAGTATTCTAATATTGACAATACACACGCACGCAGGACATATGCCTCTTGGGGACGACGGGCACTGCGACGGCGAACACCGCCTCTGGCCTCCTGGCGTGCGCCACGTCCAAGGGCGATGTGCTGATTTGGGAGTTGGGGTTGCGGGCGAGCGCGCCGGGCGTTGGGGCAGCAGCCTCCGCGGACAAGGTGGTGCACGTGTCGACCCAGCTGGTTGCGGAGTCCAAGGGAGGGAGCGCCCAGAGGTGTGGGTCTAGGGAAGATCGTTGGCGCTTTTTTTTGTGAGCGGCATCTAGAAGTTGAGACGCAAGTGGTTGGGGTGAGGCTGTGAAACAGGCTTTTTTGAGTGTCCTGGGCTAAGTTTTTCCTGACATCTAGAGCGAGCGAGAGGCTTGTGATACCGGTTACGAGATGGTGGATTCTACGGGACGCCTCGCGCTGTGTGTGGGGGCATGGTGACGTAGTTGCTCTCAAAATCAAAATTTTAAGCCATCGGTGATCGGTGCTGTGGGAACACAGCTCCGCCCTTCTGAGGACACGTGGTCAATGGTCTAACCGCCAAGGCATGCGAAACATGAGTAACCCCCCTCCCCCACCCCTCTGTTTGACGCTGTTTTGCCACCGTCGTTCTACCCTGGTTGTAGCGTGGCCTGGCACACCTCCGGTATGAGGATGCTCGCCGTGGTGTCGGGGACATCGGTGAGAGGGAGCCTAAGGCAGTTGTCGCCACCATATGTTACAATACGGACGGTAGTTTTTTTTTTTCTTTGAAGGCAATGAAACGCCCGTACATTATTTCGTACTTCGCCGAAACAATTTTCACCAACGTAACGGAGACACATGGAAACGCCACAGTTGTATGCTGGTGACGTTTCACTCAAACAGACAAGTGTAGGAGTTGTTGGTGGGATACTTGTTTTCTTCTGCTTTGTTCTCTTGACAATCCTGCCGTCTGCGTTTTGATCCATGGGGGGTAAGTGTCGCGACTCATAGCTGTACTTGTCACCGAAGGCGAACTGTGATCTACGATCTCCGTTCGATATCCTTTGTCTCCTTCCTCCTTCAAATGGCTCCCTTACGATATAGTCGTCACGAAAAGAAGCCCTTGGCCTATGATCTCCGTTCATCTTCTTGCACTGCCTGGAAAGACTGGCTTTCGATATAGTTGTCACGAAAGTCAGTCAGACGTTGGTCACTTAGGATCTCCGTTCACCTCCCTTTACTGCTCGTCGCGCCTGGGGGGACAAAACGAACAGGTTGTGATCAGCGACTTCATTGGCCAGCAGGACCAATCGGCACACCTTCCCGGAGCTATTTGCAAGGGTCACTACAAGCAGGTGGGATGACCGGGGCCTCGCCGACTCGGCAGAAATGAACGGCCGTGCTGTGCTACCTAGGGGTGCTGTGTACGCCACAGACCGTCTCGAGCGCCGCATGGATATGGTGATGGTTGGGCGAAACCTGATAGGAGGGCAGGAGAGAGCTTTTGCATATATTTTGCCTGATGCCACATCATACCGTCTGCTCAAACCTGTGCGCCCCATAATCGTGTGAATGTCTGTGCTAACTGTTGCACTCCCGGGGGGGGGGGGGGGATATCCAGCGTGAAGTCTTTGACCGGTTCGGACGGAGTATTGAAAGCAAGGCATGGGTGTACGTACGTACGGCCACCGTGACGTTGAGGTTCCACTTGAGCCTCATGTGCTTGTTGTGTTGTAGCATTGCGCGTCGTTCTCTACTTGAGTCGTCAATATCGCAAAGGCTTCCGCCTACCAATGTTGACGCTCTATGTCTAGTAGGGCCTACCCTCTCCTTGTGTTACGCCGGTTTTTCCCGGACCCGTGGTGATCTTAATGGGCACCCGCTGGCGAGAACAATGGGGGAGGGGGGGGTGTACTCATAGTCGTGCATGCCGTAGTCGTTAGACCATTGACCTCGCATCCCTACAAAGCCGGGACGGAGCACGCCGGGTTCTCACCGGACCAGGCTCTCACATCACCAAGCGCGAAGCGCCGTGAGATATTCGGCGAGTCGCATGAAGGGTGCGCTGCACCCTACTAAGGGTGTTCGGCATCTTGTGCTTACTTCCTTGCGTACGGATGACAGCTGCGTATGACTAAGTTATATTCTGGTGCTTTCACTTCCTGAAACAGTTGTAAGCACTGTGTAACTGCCTCGAGGGTGCTTGACCATTTTAACACAACGTGGTGCGATCATCCCCCTTGCGCGGAGTGAGGGTTGTCGACCCCGCACAACATGATCTACTCGACCACCATTATGGTTACCGCCAAAAAAAAAAAACGGAGGAAAAAAAAAAAACGGTAACCTGGTTGCCGAGTTCACGAAGTGAATTGGCTTGTTTTACAACGTCGTTGCCAAGCGACGAAAACCCAATCCCGATGGCAAACACCGGGGGGGGCGGCTTGTTTTACAACGTCATTGCCAAGCGACGAAAACCCAACCCCGATGGCAAACACCAGGGGGGGCTTGTTGTACAACGTCGTTGTCAAGCGACGAAAACCCAACTCCGATGGCAAACACCGGGGGGGGGCGGCTTGTTTTACAACGTCGTTGCCAAGTGACGAAAACCCAACCCCGATGGTAAACACCGGGGGGAATGGGGGAGGGGGGTGGTCGCAAAGCGCAGATGCCTTCCTTCTGTTTTAGCCTTCATTTCATCGGGGAGATGAAACCAAATCTGAATCATATATCGTGACTATTCGGCAATTTGTATCTACCACCACTGCCCTGATCGACACGTGAGGAAAAAAAGACAAGGATATATATGTAGGGTATGGTTGGTTGAATCCTGTTCATAAGCCAACGGTGAGGAAACGATCGGTTGCCTTACGTACGAGATATGGGCCGACCACAAGACGCCCAAAGTTGAAATGAGGCAAGAGTGTTTTATCAGAAATTTGCAATTGAGCATCTGGCAGAAACATAAGAGCGCCGACTGCGAAACAGACGTGTCTCCTTGAAACGGTGATGACCCGTCTCGAAAGGGGCGCGTGGTACAACGGCAACGCATTCGGCACGGTAAAACGAGAAACTCCCCGCCCCTGCCCCGCCCCAGTACGTTAAAAATGAGAAACTCCTTGCCACCGCCCCCTACGCCCCACCCCCCGGCCCCCCGGCCCGTATCGAAAGGGGTGACGCGGACGAGGCGTATATACGCCAGCGCTGATGAGATTCTTGCACGCTCCAGTACCTCGGTACAGCGACCCAGGCCTACCCACTGCACAGCCTAGCTTGAGGTGTTGGGTTTGGGTAAGGGTGAGGGTTAGGGTTGAGGGGTGGGTTAAGCCTAGTGAGGCCTAGCGCCATGGTTTTGCCTTGAGGGCTGGAAACCCGGTGTGGCTTTGGTTTCGTGTCTACCTCCAAGCACAACCCAAGAATTGTTGAACTTGCGAGTGCAAGAATCTCGCTAGCGCTGGCGTATATACGCCTTTCGGGTGATGCGTGGTTCAACTGTACACCACGCCACCGCTGTACGGCATAAAAAAATTGAGTAACCCCCCGCCCCCGCCCCACCCTGAGAGCAGATCGCTAATGCCTCCCCGCCCCCGTCCCCTCCCTGTGAGCAGATTACTAACGCCTCCTTCTCAAGGGGGAACGGGGACGTCTTGGCCACCGCCTCCGAAGACGGGACTGTCAGAGTGTGGGACACCAGGCCGGCCCTCCTGGAGGCCACGCCCTCCCCTCAGTCGATCGCCTGTCTGCGTGCCTTTCGAGCCGCGCCGGAGGGCTCGACGCTGAGCCGGGTTCTCGTGGTGGACTCGGACATGGCGCTAGTGACCGGCGACGAAGACAACCGACTCCTCAAGGTGATGCAGAGCCCGATATCATGCGGCGTGCTTCCTGGTCGGGCTTGAGTACGCGGATCGACCTTGTGGTTGTTGCCGGGGGGCGGTGAGATAAAACTGTTATCTGTTATCACGTTGCGGCTTTATTTCCCAAGCTTGGTGTGGTTGCGGTTCGGGGGACTGTCGGGAGAAACAAAGAAAAAGCTGAGGAAGGTTTGTCTGTGTGCCCTCTTGTTGTGTTTTGAGTGTTTGTTGAGGGTAGTCGGAGTCTTGGTGTTGGATAAACACTTCTCAAGAGACAAAGCGACAATCAGCGACAGTGAAGGAGAGAGAGACAGCCGGAGACAGAGAGAGAGACGGAGACAGAGGTGGCGTGTCCTCTCGCAAAGTGGTAACTGTCGTCGTCTCTCTCTTATCCTCCTTGTTGCTGTCCCCTTGCGTGTCGGCCGTTGCCGGCCTGCCCTCGCGCCCTCACGCCAGAGGCACAGCGGCAATACCAGCAACCACTTCAACCAGAGTCCACCCACCCCTTCATAACAACACTCTATCCCTCCCCTCCCCGCTCCCGCTCTGCCTATTGCGCTGCACCAAAGGTGTGGCCGGCTGCCGAATCGAACGGCGGAGCGGGAGCGGGGGCAGGAGCTCTGGAAGGCGTGCTTCCTTCGCAGGTGCTGTCGCTTCCCGGGCGGGGAGCGCTGTCGCTGGAAGTGGATCCTGGAGGGGAGTTCGTGTTTGCGGCAGACACGGAGGAAGGTCTGCTGTACGCTCTCCACTTGGCGGAGGGGGGGCAGAAGGGGTGAGAT